CTGTTATTTAGCGGAGGATGAGTTTTCTTAAGATTTGCTTGATTTATGACTATTATATTGCAATTGAGTTATATATTTGGTAGGGTGGTCTGGGATAATACAAGAGAACCTTAATGCTTGGTGTCATTGGTAACTCCAAAAGGTCTCAGAAAAGTTTTTGAAATTACATAAGCTCCTTTTTTAGTTTGATTCCCGTTACAGTTCTAATATTACAAATAGCGTAATTTCTTGAATGGATATGTTTAGGAAAGTTGAGGTTGTGAGTGCATCATGTAATACACAATAATACTAATCATCTATTACATTAACTGTTTATGATGAAAGTGGACTTCAAAGAGATAATTCATGTTGTTGGTGTTGTGATGATCTCAAAACTTAAAAAGTTATACCTCTTGGAACCATTTCCGAGCTAGAAAAAGTAATAATGACGGATTATACGTTAGCGTCATTTTAAATACAAATAAAAATCAACGATTTTTATTGTCACAGAGAATATCGTCACGATATGTATTATTGTGACGAATATTGATGCATTATATCATATCGTCACAAAAGAAGTTGTATGATGACAAATTATACGTATGCGTCATTTTAAACACAATAAAAACACTACGATTATGATTCGTCACAGTGACTTTCGTCATAATATGTATTAATATGACGAATTTAGTTGTTTTATATTTATCGTCATAAATCAAAATTATATAATGACGAATTATTTGTAAGCGTCATTTCAAATACGAAGAAAAACAACGAATTTGTTTTCGTCGTAGTGAATTCCGTCACAATACGTATTAATGTGACGATTTTAGATGTATTATAATGTATCGTCACAATAAATAATTATATAATGACGAATTAGTCGCAAGCGTCATTTTAAATAACAGCAACTGTGACGACTGTTTGTTTGTCACATTTAATTTTGTCACATTTTATATACATGTGACGAATTTGTATGTATAAGTGACGAATCGAGGTGCATTGTGATGAAAAAATCCATTATGTGACGAAAATAGAATTCTAATATGACGAATATAGGAGTCGTCGCCGTATGCATTGATGTAATGACGATCTACTAAATTCGTCACCATAGGGCAACATACAGTGACGCTTTTTTTTTGTCACATGTATTTTCGTCACTGATTGGCAGATTTCTTGTAGTGTAAATTGGCCCAATATATGTTTTGGCCCAGCCCAAAAGAACTCACCAGGCAGCAACACTACTAAACTCTAGATATATAAGAGGAAATCTCATCTTCTTGCTCTTCCTCTTGTGTCATTGTGTTGCTTTTATTGAGTGTAATCGGGTCTGTGTCACCCGTAGGGTACCCGTCACCCACACGGGTGCCGGGTCTGGGGGAAATCTGGACCCGAGATGGGTGATGGGGCGGGTGACGGGGGTATTTTCCCTAATGGGGGCGGGTGACGGGGGGGTCCCCCAGCGGGTTTGTCACCCATTGCCATCCCTACCCAAAAGAGTCGTTTTTTCCAATTACCTCGGTTTTTTAGTTCATTACATGCAATAAAAAATGAAGACACATACACAAAAACTAATGTAATTTAAAAATCATATCTATTTATAAACTATATATAATAACCAAAAACTAATGTAATTTAAAAATCAATGAAAAATAAAGCAACAAAATTTTATTTAGTTGCCAACTTGGATCACAAACGTGTGGGATTGTTGGTTAGCTAGGATTAAGGTGATGATCATCTGTCAATATGAAATATATAACAATACATTTCATAATCGATAATTATACATCAAATTTTATCCGCATTGAATAGAAGATAAATCAAGGTACATCAATTTGGACGGTTTTTCTATAAAACCAACCGTTGACTCTATAGTAGAGCCAATTTTCTATATACAATCAATAAACATGCCATATTGTCTGATTACTTAAATAACATTAATATAATTTTATTAATATGGTAAGTTTATTTGTTGTATATAGAAGGTTGGCTTCATAACAAAACCGCCAATCGTCAATCTGAAATGCTCTTTAAAATACGTAAATAACAAATACTCAGTATTAAAAAGATACATTAATTTACTAGTTAGAAAAATCGTCAAATTTAAGTGCATTATAGACAACTTTTCAGAACTTGATACAATGCATAATTCACATTAGTCCACTAAGGATTTAGATGCTCCCACCGTTGACTAGTTACTTTAATATCAAAATTTATGTATGGAAGTGTAG